TACTGTCTTTTCTTTTCTATTTCATAGCTAATTATTTTTGCTTTGATTCAAAAAACCATGTTGTGATTGTACTGTAGTGTTTTGCATCAATATATTACAAACTTTGTTCACAATGATTCCACTGTGTCTGTAATATTCTCTCTACGACTGTAGTGCTTTCACAGAGATGTGTTTACTGTACATGTAGACCATAATGAAACCTGTATCACCTATTTTGCTCTACAATATTTAATGATTGTACGAACAATGACACAGTGAAACTATCGGTTGCGTGTGTGTGGGTGATCTATAGTTGTGTTTCAATGGTATTTCACAGTTAATTTGTTTTTTGAACCAATGATTGTGCAAGTGCAAGATTTCTTTAAAGATGTGAATGCACAATGCAATGTTTTGAACATTAGACAGCCTGTGTTACAGTGATAACCGTTGTGAGTTTTGTGTCTAGAGTTGTGAAAAATGACATCAAGGTTCTGAAAATAGTAGCAAAGTGATTGTAAAAAACTGTATTATTGAATTTGACTTGATTGTGTTTGTGGGGAATTGATTGGCTGGTTGGATGGTTGTGGTTTGTTATTGGCTGATCTCATGTGATTGACAGGTTATAGCCCCGCCCTCGTCATCAGAGAAGAGAAGCTGCAAGAGGAAGTTATTCTGATTCAAGATTACTAAAACAATAATGATGTGCACCCATAAATCATTTAGAATAAACACTGCAAAACTTCCATGATCTCACTGTATAGAAATGCATTATATTTCCCAACAGGATTGTGGATCCTCAGGTTCAGATCTGGCTCATTATATCTGGTGTTCCTCTAATGACTCTCTCTCTGCTCACAGGAAGAGTGTGTGTTGTAAAAGCGTGTCTGTGCTTAGCCTCCACTATCTGGTTTCCGGAACTCACCTGGTGACAAATTTCCCTGCTGAATTCATCATGCACTTACTGGAGAACTTCCACTGAAACTCAAAAACCTCTTATACGCGCTGAGCCTAACACGAGGAACCACACCGAACGAGAACAGCAACACAGCTGTGACTGACAGAGTGAGTTGTGGGATCTGATGTGGGATCAGAGGAAACGTCTCTATTTCACTGGATCTCTGAAACTCTCCTCACTGTCTGTCTCTTCCTCAGAGCGAGAACAACACAGCGGTCGCGTAAACACACAATAACACACACTCTAAAACATCTTGGGTTATTTTTTTCTGCCCAAATCCTGGGTTGAGCCTTTTGGGTCAATTTCTTGGGTCAATTTTTTCAATGTTTGGGTAGTTTTTGTGTAACCCAGATCCTGGGTCAGATGTACCAACCCAGTGTTTGGGTAGTTTTTGTGTTACCCAGTTCCTGGGTCAGACGTAACAACCCAGTGTTTGGGTAGTTTTTGTGTTACCCAGCTCCTGGGTCAGACGTAACAACCCAGTGTTTGGGTAGTTTTTGTGTTACCCAGTTCCTGGGTCAGACGTAACAACCCAGTGTTTGGGTAGTTTTTGTGTTACCCAGCTCCTGGGTCAGACGTAACAACCCAGTGTTTGGGTAGTTTTTGTGTTACCCAGCTCCTGGGTCAGATGTACCAACCCAGTGTTTGGGTAGTTTTTGTGTTACCCAGTTCCTGGGTCAGACGTAACAACCCAGTGTTTGTGTAGTTTTTGGGTTACCCAGATCCTGGGTCAGATGTACCAACCCAGTGTTTGGGTAGTTTTTGTGTTACCCAGTTCCTGGGTCAGACGTAACAACCCAGTGTTTGGGTAGTTTTTGTGTTACCCAGATCCTGGGTCAGATGTACCAACCCAGTGTTTGGGTAGTTTTTGTGTTACCCAGCTCCTGGGTCAGACGTAACAACCCAGTGTTTGTGTAGTTTTTGGGTTACCCAGATCCTGGGTCAGACGTAACAACCCAGTGTTTGGGTAGTTTTTGTGTTACCCAGATCCTGGGTCAGACGTAACAACCCAGTGTTTGGGTAGTGTTTGTGTTACCCAGCTCCTGGGTCAGACGTAACAACTCAAGTGTTTGGGTAGTTTTTGTGTTACCCAGCTCATAGGTCAGACGTAACAACCCAGTGTTTGGGTAGTGTTTGTGTTACCCAGCTCCTGGGTCAGACGTAACAACTCAAGTGTTTGGGTAGTTTTTGTGTTACCCAGCTCCTGGGTCAGACGTAACAACCCAGTGTTTGGGTAGTGTTTGTGTTACCCAGCTCCTGGGTGAGACGTAACAACCCAGGGATTGAGTTATTTATCGTGGGCTTTTCGCGACCTCTTCAGGAGAGACCAGTACAGGACCGTCAAATTGGTGCGTGTCTTATATAAAAGCATTCATGTATCAACTAAAATAATTTTTAAAAGCTAGTACTATAGTACAAATGAATCAACCAGTTATATTGGGTTAAATCAACCCATTATGCTGTTTTAAATAAACATCTTAATTTGCTGGGTAAAATTAACCCAACATGTGTTTACCCAGCCCATGGGTTAAAACAACCCAAATTGAGTTGTTTTTAACCCAGTGTTTTTTAGAGTGCTGACCCACAGCACAACGCCATACAGGACTGAAACCAATGATGAAATAAAATATATCACAGGCTGGTGTGTGTGTGTGTGTGTGTGCGGAGCCATTAGCGGAATCATACGCATTATTTATGAGATGTGCAGGATGGCATCTGTTGGCACAGCAGTGAAATTATGTCTTCTTGGAAAAATGCATTTTGGCTGAGTGTGTGTGTGTGTGGGGGGGAATCGAACCCATGACCCTGCCGTTGCGAGCGCTGCTGTTTGAGATTGGCGTTTGCTCAGGAGTGTAAGACAACAGAAATCCTCACAGGATTCCGGAATGTTCCGAGATATTCCGACCCCTGATCCCTCATTCCTGCGGGAGATAACGCGACGCCGCACACACACACACACACACACCTCTCCTACGCTGTAGTGCTTACAGGTTTTGTTGTAAGTGTTTGTGAACAGATATTTGATGAATGAGATGCAGAATGTGGGAGTGAGGGAATCGGCTCCGTGTTTCCCAGAATCAGGAGGACTGGCATCAAGTTACAGAAACTGCATCTAGTTTTAGTTCTAAATTATATTTTTAAATAATGTTTATTAATTGTTTTAGTTTCAGTTTCTGTTTTAGTTCGTCTGTGTTCGTCATGTTCACACAATGAATGTTTATAACATCAAGTGAAATTCCTGTTTGAAAGAAACTTCCCGTCATGAAAGAGGCCGAGAATGTGAAGCACGAGACACGCGCCGATCCTCGTACAGGAAGTGTGTTCTGCGTGTTTTACGCTGTGTGAAGGAATGTTTATGGGTGTTATAAAACACACACACACACACACACACACACACACAGTGAGTCAACAACACAATCTCTGAGCTGCTTACTCCAGTTATCAGCGCTATAGTTCAGAGATCTGATGTGTGTCTCAGGCATGGTTTCCAAACTCTGACCTCTGACCTCACAGTATCTGATCCTGATGAATGACATGTCAACTTCAAATAGAGTTTGAATCATTGTTCTGATTATTTCTACAGGAATGTCTTTACTGTTTGAATCTATTTAACCCTAAATCCACTGCTGAAATCTTACGCTCTACAAAATGCTTGGGTCAAATATAGACAAACCCGACCCAACCAAACCCAATTTTTAAATACATTTTTTAATTTGTATATATTTGACCCAAACGTGGGTTAAAACAACCCAGCATTGGTTAGAGTGTAGGCCGCAGATGAATCATGATCTGGATGAGAATGGCTCATAACTGTCTGTCCATTAAGATATTGCGATCAGATGAGCTCATATTAATCCATATGGTTCTAATAAACAAACAGAATGAATAAATGCGCAGCTCGTCCAGTGTGACACAACACTACTGTAATACACATGATCAGATCTGTGACTCTGCTGTCCTCTACTGGAGCTCAGGATCAACTGCACCTCTCAGACACGCACTCATATAACACACAATACTGTAATATAATATAATATAATATAATATAACTTAATATAATGTAATATAATTAATATAATAATATAATATTATAATATAATATAATAATATAATTTCATATAATATAATTTAATATAATTCATATAATTTAATACAATATAATTAATAGAATATGATGTAATTTAATATAATATAATATGATGTAATATAATATAATTTAATATACTATAATATAATGATTTAATATAATATAATATAATTAATATAATATAATACTATATAATATAATTAATTTAATATATGTCATCATGGAGAATCTGCCAGAAACATAAAGATATTTATGATTGTTTATAACTCTGACTCTGAACTGCATGAAACGAGAATGTGGTTTAATAACTACTGTAAGTGTTTTATTGATTATAATGTTTCCCTGGCAGATAATAGAAAAGATAAGTAATAAAAATGATATAAGTAATGTTTATCCATCATACTTATGCATTAATAGTTCCCTCAACTGTTTAACAATTTATTCTTATTGCTAATACAATAATTCAGAATAATAAGAATTATGAAGAAGCATTATAATAAATTGTTATTATTAAGAAGTTCTCCGTTTCATGTAGTTTGTGGCAAATATTCAATTCATATTTATTTGTAACATTACAATTTACAGTGATCTGTTATTATCAGAGGAAACTGTCTCTGTTATGTATTTAGTAACTCTGTTAAGTTATGTATTTCAGAAATGTACATATACAAAAACACAGTTAGCTAAATTTTTTTAATTTAAACAATGTAATAATTTAATGCAGAAACTATGAGCTCATTGAAGTGATGAATACTTGTTTGTTAACAGATGATTATGACATTTAGAAAAGTGTAGCAAATATAAGCTGTGCTCGACTGTGTTTGGTTCCGTGACTTCATCATCCATCCGTTCAGAATATGCAGAATGTACTTTATTCATGTAGAAAGCGTGAATAATAGAGATGTGTCACGTGGTCGTCGTCCGTAAGTGACACCTGTCTCCTCTCCAGCAGAGGGCTCTCTGCGCATGCGCACTGCACACCGCTGTCACCGCGTCAGGCTGGCGGATCTCAGGCTCGTGCTGGTGAGAAATATTCATTAATATTTGGCAGAGTTTGTATTGTTGTGTTTAATCCGCTTCACCGGTGTGAGATTGTGTCGTTCAGGACTGTGATGTGTGTGTGTCGTTCCTGCGCAGCAGCAGTCGTGTGTGTTTGTGTTTGTGTTTGTGTGTGTGATAATGCTGTTCGGCTAATCTGTGTGTTTCTGCTGGTTAAAGGCAGTCCAGATGAACACGTATCGCTCGTGTGTGTTTGGTGTGTGTTTGGTGTGTGTTACAGTGTTTCCCGTCATCTGATGACGCGCGCGCGAGTGTTACATTGTAACTCTAATCTGATTCTCTCTCAGTGTGTGTGTGTGTGTGTGTGTGTCATCACATGTATTTACTTGTTTGTGTGGTGAAGTCGCCATTTTCCTGCTCTCATCATGGATGTTGTGTGTGTTGTGTGTATGTGTTGTGTATGTGTTGTGTGTGTGTTGTGTGTGTGTGTGTGTGTGTGTCAGTCAGTGTCACAGACTCATATCAAACCCTGATCATCTGAGGGAATCTCTCGTTTCTCTGTAATGTTGAATCATCCAGAGCTGCACCTGTTGAATTTCACTTTTACTTTCAGATTTTCTATCAATTTTGTATATTCAATATTCAAAGTGTTTATTGTACAGAAATGTCTTTGTGCAGCTTTAGTTTAGTGTTTTCCAGCTGCAGTGCTGGGTTTCTAAATCAATGCGATGAGCACAAATGATTCGTCCTGTATTTGCTGTATTGTAAATATTATTTGTTAGTTGATGGTTATTAAAAAGTGCATTCACTATTTTTAACCTCTTTGAGCTTTTGTTGTGGTTCACTCCATAAATTAATTTATGCAAGTGCAAAAGCTTCTCATAATCGCTCGATTCATACGCGTTTCACATTCAATAGTTCATAATAATAATAATAATAATAATAAAATAATCATTCAATAGTGTACAGAAACATCACTTCTATAGGGATTCTCTTAATGTTTTTTAATGGCTTCGGCACAGTTTTCACGACAGATCATCAAAGTGCACTCATTTCAGCATATTGTGTTACTATAATAGTACAATACACACTCACACACACACACACACACACACACACACACTCACTCACTCTACAGAGGGTCAGTCAGTAACTGTGTGTGTGCGTGTGCGTGTGCGTGGGAAAATCCAATGACTTGAAACAGGGAAACTCTTGAAACCTCTCAGAACTCCTGATCTACATAATAAACAACATTTAATCCAATGAATGATCCACACACACACACTCACACACTCACACTCACACACACACACACACACACACACACACACACACACACACACACACACTCTCACACTCTCACACTCTCACACACACTCACTCACACACTCACACACACACACACACACACACACACACACACACACACACACACACACACACACACACACACACACACTCACTCACTCACTCACTCACTCACTCTCTCACACACACACACACACACACACACACACACACACACACACACACACACACACACACACTCACACTGATGATGGCAGATAGTGCTGCTTGTCTCTGATGTCTGTCTGGATTTGTGTGCAGGAAGTTGTTTACATGTTTCCTGCTGAATGGCTACACACACACACACACACACACACACACACACACAAAGCCTGTTTTATTGTTCAGCAACACTCGTGTGTGTGTGTGGGTGAACACATGTGTTTGTACAGTCTTTACTGTACTTGTTTAACTCGCTGTATTTCAGTTCTGTGAAGCTGAATGATGCGTATCGTGCAAACACATTTGAATATTATAAAGTGTTACCAAAACTTTAAACTATTCTAAGGCTTCATCAGTGAACCACATAACTTAACACACTTCTAGCATTTATTAATCCGAGTCAGTGTTTGAGCATTTACTAATACATTATTAAAGTCAAACGTTAATATGATTTAATAAACCTCAATAATAGTAATATTAACATTCATAAAAAACGAACAAATATATTGCTCATTGTTTGGTAATGCAGTGTAAATGTTTACTAAAGTTGGTCACTTTATTTTAAGCTTTCATTGTTACAGTGTAATTATATATTTAAGCACTGAGTAATATTAATGAACTATAGGGTTTGATTGAGGCTAATCATGTAATTATGCATAATCTACATGTGACATACAGAGACACTGTAAAAATTGTTAATTGATTTTTTATAAAAATCTGTTGATAATGATTGTGTTTTAAAGCCAAGGCTGAGATGAAGTTCATATCTTGTATTATAGTTTATACAGGATTATATAATGAGACGAGAACTAAAAGAATCGCACAGTATCAAAACTCTGTAGTTTGTGTTTTAAAAAGATCCTAGCCTGATTAAAACCAGAGCATCTCAGGTGTAACTGAGGCAAAGCGTCACAGACAAATCATTTCCAGAGGGGCGTCGCCAACGGATAGAGCTAAACCCAATCACAGCGATGAAGGAGATGACGTATGCAGAGCGGCGGAGACACATCTCCGAGTGTTGTTCTTTGCTCGGTTTTTAACTAAAAGGAAACGTTCAAATGGCTTAAAACAGACGCGATAGCTGATTGGAACGAGTGATGTTCGACGGCGGCATCCATCTTTGTAATGTAGGCTACAAAATCTGCTTCAAAACCCCAGCGCTGTCGTCATCGTGTAAAGCCCGCCCCAACGCTTCTGATTGGTGCCTCGATTTCAGCGGATTGGAAATGAGCTTGAATGAGCTCTTCGCCAGACTAACTTTCAGAGCAAATCTAAATTAGCCGGAAGTTGTCTGGGTTTTCCCAGGCTAGGAAGATTCTGCATGAATTTGAGTTTGAGTTTGATTGACAGACAGACTTCGACATCCACAACACAAGTGTTTCTCCTCCTGAAAGAGGATCAGTCTGTTGAATGTTGATGGCGGATCCCGAAAGGTTCACCAGCCGGAGACTCACTCACCGCTGTAACATACAGAAGACTCAGAACAAAAGTGGATGTTACTCACTCGTTCAGATGGCAATTCCCGGTGGAAACTCTTATGTTGGTCATACTTCCATAAAGTATAATCTGTGATTGCGAACGCCAGGATCCACACCGGCGGCGACTGACACACACACACACACACACACACACACTCTCCTCAAACATCGTGTTCATCCGCGCCGAGGCACAACTCCTGTAAAGCTGATCACTCCGCCAGTAACTGCTATTGCAGATTCCCAACAGAGATGGCGACAGAGGACAAACTGCGGACTGCAGCTGTAAACAGTGAGACGAACCGGTGTTGAAAAGCGAATCAACCAATTCAAAAAGATTTGAATCCAAAGATTGATTCGTTCACAAATCCGACGAACTGACTCTAAAGTGTCATATGACTTGAGTCTCTGAAATGAGTCATTTGTTGTGATGCTTTATGGGGCTTTTGGATCTTCACCACTTCAGTCCCTCTTTAAAACTTCTCCTTTCCCGACACCCCGACAGGAGGGATGACGTTTGAGTGAACTGACTCTTTAATGTTTGAGAATGACTGATTCACTCCACAATATTTCCATTGTTTGAGATTTCAATGAGAGGAAAGAAAAGCGTAGTGTGTGTGACAGAAATATCAGCGAGTTCTGCTGACGTCGACGCTCGTTTCCCTGCGAGAGTGAAGCATGCTGGGAGATTAATATTTGCTTTAGCTTTTAGTTTTTAGATTTTTAGTTTTCATGATAATTTTAATTTAATTTTTAGTCTTTTTTTTTTTTTTATTAGTTAAAAAAATATATATTCCCATTTACGTTTAATTTAGTTTAATTTAAAAAAAATTATTTCCATTTAATAATTTCAATTTCAGTTTATTGCCAAGGCAACATTTCTAATTTTTTAAAAAGTTTTTCAAGTAATATTTATATTTTATTTTATTTTTATGCTCTATTTCAATTAACACAAATGTTTTTAATAGTTTATTTTAGTTTGTGGTGTATCAGTTTAATATTCAGATTAATCGCAGGTTTATTCATCTTGATGTCAAGGATCTTTACTGATTTATTTATTGGTTATTTATTTTTTAATGCCCCTTTGTGTTTGTGTGCAGTAACACACTGAATAATTCATGTTTCTCTCTGCGCCACTAAAACTCTCGCCCTTTTACAGTGTAATTACTTCTCTTTTCCTTCTAGCTCCGGTTTCTGTCATGTCATGTGGACATCAGATGATGAATCACTCACAAAAGCCTCAAAATCTCTTAAAATGAACTTAAAATGACAAAACAAGCACGAGAACTGACATCTTCACCCTTTACAACATTTGTATAATAATATTTTGATAATATCCTGTTGCGTAGTTGTGCTTGGAGTCGATTGTTTTATTTGTGATGATAATGCAATGAAACACTGTCAATCAAAGAAATTATAAACAAATGCATAAACGAGAGAACCAGTGAAATATTAATAACTAATTATGTTTTAGTGAATGTATTCTTCTTCCTGTCAGCTTTTTGTTTTTCTATGCATTTTTTTGCATATTAAAATAAAACCTGTATCTGTAGTTTGACTTTTTTTGCCAAATTATTTAGTCAGATAAATATCTTAACCCAAGTTTATGGTTTCATTCTTCCCTCATATTTAAAATATTGTATATATAAAATATATTTTCCTCGTAATGTGATAGTTTTTACAAATATTTGTATTATATTAAATATTAATATAAAGTTCTGATTTGATCCGATTCGATGTCGATTCACAAGCTTGCGATTCGATTCAGTTCTGATTTGATCTGATTCGATGTCGATTCACAAGCTTGCGATTCGATTCAGTTCTGAATTGATCCGATTCAATGTCGATTCACAAGCTTGTGATTCGATTCAGTTCTGATTTGATCCGATTCAATGTCGATTCACAAGCTTGTGATTCGATTCAGTTCTGATTTGATCCGATTCGATTTACAAGCTTGCGATTCGATTCAGTTCTGATTTGATCGGATTCTATGTCGATCCACAAGCTTTCGATTCGGTTCTGATTTGATCCGATTCTACGTCGATTCACAAGCTTGCGATTCGATTCAGTTCTGATTTGATCGGATTCGATGTCGATTCACAAGCTTTCGGTTCTGATTTGATCCGATTCGATGTCGATTCACAAGCTTGCGAATCGATTCAGTTCTGATTTGATCCGATTCTACGTCGATTCACAAGCTTGTGATTCGATTCAGTTTTGATTTGATCTGATTCGATGTCAATTCACAAGCTTGCGATTCGATTCAGTTCTGATTTGATCCGATTCGATTCACAAGCTTGCGATTCGATTCAGTTCTGATTTGATCCGATTCAATGTCGATTCACAAGCTTGTGATTCGATTCAGTTCTGATTTGATCCGATTCAATGTCGATTCACAAGCTCGCGATTCGATTCAGTTCTGATTTGATCCGATTCAATGTCGATTCACAAGCTTGTGATTCGATTCAGTTCTGATTTGATCCGATTCAATGTCGATTCACAAGCTCGCGATTCGATTCAGTTCTGATTTGATCCGATTCAATGTCGATTCACAAGCTTGTGATTCGATTCAGTTCTGATTTGATCCGATTCAATGTCGATTCACAAGCTCGCGATTCGATTCAGTTCTGATTTGATCCGATTCAATGTCGATTCACAAGCTTGTGTTTCGATTCAGTTCTGATTTGATCCGATTCAATGTCGATTCACAAGCTCGCGATTCGATTCAGTTCTGATTTGATCCGATTCAATGTCGATTCACAAGCTTGCGATTCGATTCAGTTCTGATTTGATCCGATTCAATGTCGATTCACAAGCTTGTGATTCGATTCAGTTCTGATTTGATCCGAGTCAATGTCGATTCACAAGCTCGCGATTCGATTCAGTTCTGATTTGATCCGATTCAATGTCGATTCACAAGCTTGTGATTCGATTCAGTTCTGATTTGATCCGATTCAATGTCGATTCACAAGCTCGCGATTCGATTCAGTTCTGATTTGATCCGATTCGATGTCGATTCACAAGCTTGCGATTCGATTCAGTTCTGATTTGATCCGATGTCGATTCACAAGCTTTCGGTTCTGATTTGATCCGATTCTACGTCGATTCACAAGCTTGCGATTCGATTCAGTTCTGATTTGATCCGATTCTACGTCGATTCACAAGCTTTTGGTTCGATTCAGTTCTGATTTGATCCGATTCGATGTCGATTCACAAGCTTGTGATTCGATTCAGTTTTGATTTGATCCGATTCTACGTCGATTCACAAGCTTTCGATTCAGTTCTGATTTGATCCGATTCGATGTCGATTCGTTTGGACGGATATCAGGTATGGTGTTTGTTTCTCAAGGACAGAAATCTCCCTGAAGTTCTGAACTAATGCTGTATTGAACCTGCCAGGTTATAATTAACAAAAGCAGTTACATTAATAATAACGTTAAATAATAACTTTGTAATCACATAATTATGCTAGTTTTTTTAAACAAACGTTTAAACGGTGACTGTCATAAACATTTGTTGTTTACATATCAGATTTGTTCAAACATACATTAAATATTAGAACAGGATAAGTGAAAATATGTATTATAGTCCATATATGTATCAGAACGCATCTTTCTCGAGTTCCAGCTGACTGTCGAGTTTATGGTCACGGAATGGCTTTAAGTGTGACGTTACGTGACATTATCGTTCTCCAGCTGTTTTATTTGGAAAAAAGTTTATAGTTCAGTAATGTCAAAATGTATTATTTGTCACTGAATCATTCATATAAGAGATTCGTTCAGAAACACTGATTCATCCAGTATTGAAACAAGCATTTATGAGTGAGTCATTGAATCATTCACTCAAACCGATTTTTAAAAATGATTTTTCCAGCTTACTATCGAGTTTATGGTCACCGAATGGCTTTAAATGTGACGTTACGTGACATTATCGTTCTCCAGCTGTTTTATTGACGCCTTCCCGCGGATGAAACACTGATTACACGAGACTGAATCACTGATTACTGAATCACTGATTACTGAATCACTGAATTACTTCAGTGAGTTGTTCTGAATCTGTCAACATTCCTTCTGATGTTCATGGATGTTTATTTGAGATGATCGGTTCGAGAGCAGTCGGTCTCGCCGTATTAAAGAGACACAGACACACATAAAATGGACAGAATTTGAAGCTGAGACTGTTTGATATCAGAAGTATTACAGATTATTGTGATTATTTCAGAAGTATTACAGATTACTGTGATCAGTGGAAGTTTTGTTCATGTTTGGTGGAGGTTTTATTTCCACAGATGTCAGGATTATTGTCACACGTGCTCGTCTCACTCCTGTGGTTCGGCTGGACGGACGGGTCTGTGAACCGCTGTAATCTGATGTTGATGGTCTCTTTCAGGTCCTGTGAGTGTGTGCACTGGTGTCTGTGCTCTGGTTGGTCCAGGACAGATGAAGCATGTGTTTGAGTCGGACGCTTGCGGGATGAAACCCTGACCGGATATCAGCCGGTCAGTTTATTTATTATGGACTCATGATGATGGCTTTATGTGTTATGATGAAATATTATAACAGTACAGCTAGAGATCATGTTTATTGTGTCACGTCTCCTCCAGACATGGGTTAAAATGTGAAACTGAAGTCATGATATGGCTTTGTGCAATTATCAAATCAAAAAGGCTGGGATTTATTTAAGTAAATATATTCACAAAGTGTTTTTAGGTTGTAACATGGGTCGATAATACATTTATATAAATGTTTACATTAATATGTGTATAAATTAATATGTGTTGTCAGCACAAGAAACTCTAAGGTCTCCCTGCTTTTTTCTGACACAAATGGTCTATGGTTTAACGTTTGAAAATAAGAAAATTAAGACATAAAGATAAGTAGATGTACTGGGAAAAATAAATACAAACATATTATAAAATAAATAATAATAATATATATATATATATATTTATGTTTATATTTATTTTTCCCAGTACATTTACTATAAAGTAATAGAGTATTTAAAATATATATATATATATATTTAAATACACTATTACTTTATTATACATTACTATAGTAATATTCTTATTTTATTCAATAATAATAATAATAGTAATAATAATAAAACAATTATAGTGATGTGGTTTAACATTTGGTTTAATGTTTGAATATTAAAAAAATAAGACAAATATTAGTAGATGTACTGTAAAATATATCTATATAAATATATTAATTAGGTGTACTGTAAAAAAAACTATATATACACTGTTATTTATTGTACATTACAACAGTAGTATTTCTTATTTTGTTTATTTTATTTGATAACAATAGTAATAATAATGAATATATTATAGTTATATGGTTTAAAATATGGTTTAAAATTGTTTGAAAAATGAAGTGATAACATGCACAGCTTTAATGCAATTAAATGCATACAGAAAATCCTCATAATAGAGTGATTTCTGGAGGGTCATGTGACACTGAAGACTGGAGTAATGATGCTGAAAATACAGCTTTGGTCACAGGAATAAATTACACTTTACTGTATATTCACATAGAAAACAGCTGATTTACACTGGAATAATATTTCACATTTTTTACTGTATTTTTGATCAAATCTACGCAGCCCTGAGCAGAAGAGACTGAGTTTAATGCTCTGATGAAGAGGTTTATTTGTGTCCGTAGAGTCGATCTCTAATGATGCAGAGCGACGACCGCAAGAGAAAGAAACCGAGTTTGAACCCCAGAAGCGCATCGGACGAGTACAGTCTGCGTGTGAGTACCGTGACCTCTGACCTCTGACCTCTGACCTCCAGCTCAGTGACCAGACTTTCTTCTTCCTCCTCAGGAGCGACCGAAAGACGACGCCACCAAGATGAAGAATAAAGTTTCCACTTCACAAGGTAGAAAAAAGAAACTGCTTCCATACTGTATAAAAAAACGAATTACGTATCGGAAATAGTTATATTTAATACAAGCGCATTAGTTCCCGTCCACTTTCTCAGCGGCGTTTGTTCCGGAAGTATTTTTTCCATTCATTTTTCCCATAGGGATTTAAAAGAAGTCGTTACAAACTTTGATTTGAAGCAAAAAAAGTAAGAACTACAGTCCCATGAAGCATGACGAAATATAAAACATGTTGATTATATAGGCAGCTATATAGTTTATTGCAAAATATGCATCTATATACACATATTGAAATATTCTGAGACCGACTCGATTACGTAATTCAGTCTTTTGCCATGTTTTGCTTGTTTCGACTCTGTAATTGGTGGAATTTTCTGCACAGCATCATGGGTAATGTAGTTTTTCACCACAAATTCTGATGATTTTTTCTTTAAATTAGTTGAAATAATGTGGGCTGACGGCTTGAACAGAAGCGAACCCCATCGATTAGCCTCGCAGCTCACAGTAAGCCTGTCTTTATAGGTTATCGTTAAAAACCAGTTTCCCTATGGAGAAGATGAAGAGTGTTTTTACTTCTGGAAGCGAGGGTTATTGCTAGTGCACTCCATCTATAGCTCTCTGACAGCATCGATGTTTGTGGTAGTGTTTTGAATAATTGAGTGTGTGTGTGTCAGCAGTGAGTGGTAAGAAGAAGCCGTGGTCCTGGGATCAGTATCTGGAGGACGAGAGAGCAGAAGCAGCGCCTCAGGAGCTCTTCACTGAGGTACAACTGAGGATGAGGATGGTGTCACAATAAACACAAAGACTAAAATTAGCGTAGATGCCATTCTTTGTATGATAGAGCGAGTACATCAGGTGTTATAGGAAGTGTTCCCGGTTCCAGGTGACCTAATTTATGTCTAATATATGAAGTAATTTAAATATATTTTAAAGATGGAAAAATGCGGTTTTACAGATGCTAGACACTTGACTTTCAAATGAAAGATTGGTATTAAAGACACACACACACACACACACACACCCGACGACGAGGACTTGACAGAGCAGCCATAGACAGTATTCTAGATTATTACATGAGGACGTTTTTTGTCCAATAATTAGAATATCTGTTATTTTTGTTTGTTTGTTTGTTTTATTTGGATCCTCATTAGCTTCAGCATAAGCTAAAGCTATTCTTCCTGGGGTTCTACAATCTTCCATGTGACGATACAATTTATTACATCACATTACACACTATACGCACAGGACATTACACAACATTTAAAATACATATTGTACAATTAACGCCATTGATCACCAAAAAATAATAAAACATAACTAAAATAAAATGTCGCTACTCCGAATAGATCTATATCAAGAATACGCTAACTAAGAATCCTACAACAGTATCTCCTTAAATTAAATTAATATTAACTATCTAAATATCTTCCAAGGTAATATTTCTTAAGTGAAGTTTTGAAACTATACAGAGGTTTTCTATATGTAATTTCGTGTCTGTTAGCATGTTATTAAATTCAGACATGTTGGGCGCTAGGATTTCCGTGATGTGAAAAACATGAATGTAATCGCGGGTTTCAATAGATTCATTAAATTAATGTTTTATGCATTCATTTAATTACCACTGTTTTTGAAAATGAAATTGTAATAAGTTATTCAATTGTTAAGGTTTTATTAATTCAATTGATTAGACATGCTTTTTGAGTATTAGTATTTAATTAAGCCCTTAAAATGCAATCCAGAAAAATTAAAATGGAAAACACAGAATTTTAAAAAAATTAAACTGAATTTTTGGACAAAAAATAATTTTAATATTTGTTAAACTTTTAATGAATTGTTAAGTTGTATACGTTTCATGATTTCAATTAATTAGACGTGATTTTTTACTACTAACATTTTATTTAACCATTAAAACTCATAAGAAAATTCAGACAAATTAAAACTGAATAATTTTGGGGGGAAATAAATGTCTTTCATAGGGCTCTAAAATGTTATTTTTTTATTTAACTTTTAAAAAAAATATTGTTAAGCTGTATGTGGTTCATGATTTCAATTAATTAGACATGCTTTTTGATTAATAAACCATTTAAATCAGAAACAAAAAAACGAGGAGAATGAAAGGGCTCGATATGAAGACGGTTTAACGCGAGCGCTTCTGTTACCGTGAGCGCATCACTGCTGTGAGAAGGGCTATAAACACCCGAGCCGGTCACGTGACGCGCGCGCCGCATTATTACAGACTGGAGATCCGGCGGGTCAGCAAGTTTCCGTCCCAGAGTCTCTGTGTGAACAACACTGACGCTGTTAAATAGCATTTATCCAGTGACTAAACCTCATAACTCCTCCAGATGTTTCACAGATTTGCTGAAGTTATTGGTTTGATTCGCATGAACTGACACTTAGACCTTGAATGGATAAAAGCATCTGCCAAATGCATAACTGTAATGGCTGTTTTCTCTAGACTAGACTGTAATGGAGGGCTAAATAAATATTACATGAAACCCCATATTGTGTAAATGGTTTCACTTGAGACTATGAGGCTGTGATGCAAGAGGAAGTTATTCTGCTTCAAGATTGCTAGAACACAACTATTGATCAGACGTCACTGAATACAGCAACAACAGTCAGAAAGAGGAAAAGAGATACAGTTTATTCAGTGTGTGTGTGAGTGTGTGTGAGTGTGTGTGTGATAGGGCTGGGCGATAAAACGATAACGATATGTATCGCGAAAGACACGTGATCGATATCAATAAAAAATGTGTTCGATAAAACACATTTCTTCGTCGGAAGAAACCACAAGTTGCGAAGCAAGTTTGCATTAACAAAGGCACTCGCTCTCTGGTAACCTAGCAACGTAGGGAGTGACAAGCTCAGGCAATCATGTAATTGTAACGTGTCAGTTTGGTTGCGCCATCAAAAAAAGAAAAAAGTGTGGTTGCGCGATCGTTGTCTCGTTGGTTTCCTCATCAGTAACCGGCGATTGATAAGCAGAAAATGAGTGCCCTTCATCTGCATGCCATGCAGGCTAGAATTGCGAAACATTATTGGATAATTCGCTCTATTCGCGTTTGATGTGAACACAGCATAATGAACAGGCTGCGATGTCAAGATTGCAATGCTGGAGTGTGTGTGTGTGTGTGTGTGTGTGTGTGTGTGTGTGTGTGTGTGTGTGTGTGTGTGTGTGTGTGTGTGTGTGTGTGTGTGTGTGTGTGTGTGTGTGTGTGTGTGTGTGTGTGTGTGTGTGTGTGTGTGTGTGTGTGTGTGTGTGTGTGTGTGTGTGTGTCCGACTCCGCGCGCGCGAGAGAGAGGCACAAGAGAGAGGCACGCGGGCGCGATCGAACCGTGGAGACATAAAACAATTAACACGTCATTTTGTTAATACAGGACATCAGTCAGTCTGCAAAGTGTTTACAATATTTGTGTAGGCCTATACTAGCAATAAAACACAACATTGTCCTTTTGTCACACTGTATTTCTTGTCAAACTGTAGCCTACAACTGCCACACACCGTTTTAAAAGCAAAACATATTTATCCAACCCCTTTGTAAAACAGTCTGTGTGTTCCATCTTTTGGACATTCATCATATCGCATTGGTTTTCATTTCTTGCC